AATAATAATTTCATTATATTAGAAGTTAAAGATTTTGAATTCAACTATCAAGCATGTGAGAGTGAAGTAAGGTAAAAAAATAAGAAAGAGTTATTTTTTATTATGTAATTAAATTAAAAATATATATATATTATAAGTGAGTTTGGTCTATGCAAAAAAAATAAATTTTTTTAAAACAAGCTTATGATAACAAAAGAATTCTGTTTGTATTTTATTTCAAAAAAGGAATAATAAAATAGTTCTACTTTCTTAAGGTGATTTAATGATTAAAAATTTCAAATTTTAATTTTAAATCAGGTAAGAAAGAATTTAGAGAAATAAAATATTATCTTTTCTCATATAATCCATTATTATCAGATATATTTAAAAAAAATAAAAGAGTTCTATTTTTATTCTCTTAAAAAAAAAAAGAAAGAAAATGCTACTGTAGATATATTTTGTTCAGTTTTCGGAGTCAAAGTAGAACTAAACACAACAGGGCAATATTGCAGGGAGAAAGTGACCGAGGTGCTCTGTTAATAATTTTTGCCCGTTGACAGCACTGGTATGCGCTGACGTTGAATCCAATGGGATCAGCGGCATAAAAATAGCCAACAATAAAATTAGCAGTTGGCAATTTCTTGTTTTCTTTTTTTTTTTTTCATTCAATTTTTTAAAATCATCTTTAAATATTCGAATGTTACATAAATTATTTGTTTTCATGTTTATGGCTAATGTGATTTTAATTTTTAGTAAATGTATTTTTAAAATTTTTAATTTTTAGAATTAATAAAATATTTATAGCCATTGAAAAATATTATCTTGAAATAATAAATTAGTTTTTAAACCTTAAATATATTTATTGAATTGGGAAATTATTATCTAGAAATAATAAATTAGTTTTTAAACCTTAAATATATTTATTGAATTGAGAAATTATTATCTAGAAATAATAAATTTATTTTTCAAATACAAAAATATTTATCGAAGAGTTATGATACAATTGTATACAATTCTTAATTACAAAATTTTTACCATTTATCTTCATTATGAATTTTATTATAAGATTATAAATACGAATTATATGGATTTATAAATTAATATTTGAATATATAAAATATATGTTAAATAAAATAATATTAATACGATTGTTAAGAGCTTCTCTTGAATGTGTATGTATTTGACATTACATATTTATATTATTTACTCATTTAATAATATATTATAATTATAAATTTATAATTTTAAGAAACAATCTAAATATAGCATTGCGGATCCAATTTAGCAAGTGGATTCCGTTACAGACGTCTTCCATAGAATGGATTAGTTTAATTTAATTTTTTGAATTTTTTAATATCCAATTAAATAAATTTAAGGTTCATATCAAAATTAATTAAAGCATTCTTTTAAAAATATATACAATTATTTTATTTCTTTACGATATTCATTTTAATCTTATACATTTCCCTCCCTTCTGTCTCTTCTATTTTGCGTGAAACGGACCAAAAATAAAGTTGAATTGGTTTACAAAAGCATGCACAACGCAGTATTTCTACAAAAGGAACTAAAAAAAAAGAAAAAAAAAAAACGCTAAAAAAATGATTGAGCCAAGGCTCCCTTAAAATTTTTTGCCCCTTGGGGAGCCAAAACGGTGTAGGGGCTAGGGTGGTAACCGAAGGGTTATCCGGAAATGAACCAAAAAAATGAATTTGGTTCAATTTTAATGAGTTTTGAATTAGTTTATTTTGTTGTTTTGATTTTGATATTAATCGAATAAATTTTGATTTGATTTTAATTGAATTTTTTATAAATTAAAAGTTAAAAATAAATCTCTAAAAAACTAAAATTTAGGTAAATATAATAATATATAAAATAAAATATAATTTATTATTAAAAAATTAATATTTATTTAATAAAAATAAAAATTCAATTAATTTTATTAATAATCAAATTGATTAGTTTGTAAAAATTTTAGTTGGATTTCGATTATCAAAATTAAAAAAAAAAAATTTGGTTATTTTAAAATAGGTTTCGATTTCAACCGAAATCGATTTTTGGCCCCCCAGGGGCTATAAAATTTGGAAAACGCTATATTGCCTGACATCATGTCAGGTGGT